ACCCCCGCCATTGCCTCAGCTATGTCAGAAAAATACAAAAAGTTTCTTTTGCCATACGAAAAATTCCTTCAATACCGCGAGAAGGTTCCAGTAAGTTAATAAATGTAAACGAACATATTCAGGTGGAGACGCCCAAACACGACGTAAAGGCAAGTCAAGGCAGACTCCGTAGCGAAGAAGTAATGTCTTGCCCTCTTCACTTTCATTATTTTTCCATAGTCTGACATGGTTTGTTGTCGAAAATGCGGAAAGAATGATCGGACTGATCTCCTTATATGCGATGGTTGCGATTATGTGGGCGCCTATCATATGGCTTGTCTCGATCCGCTTCTTTCCTATGTGCCAAAAGGGAAGTGGTTTTGTCCAACCTGCTTTGTGAAAAACTTCAAACTCATCAACAAAATTGACGAGTTTGGGTTTCGGAAGTCTGCTAATTCGTATTCGTTACAATCATTTGGTATCCATGCCGATGATTTCAAGTCGAAGTATTTCGGCAAGCCATCTCATGTAGCACAAACCTTATCATCTAACTTACCATTGTAGTTAATTGCCCTAGAGGATGTAGAGTCGGAGTTCTGGCGGTTGATTTCTGATCCTGAATGTGAAATTTCTGTGGAATACGGAGCCGATCTAAATGTTTCTGTTTGTGGTTCCGGTTTTCCTACCTCCCCTACATCAAGATATGCTATTAAACAATATGTGAACTCACCGTGGAATTTGAACAATTTCGCAACGAATGAGCGGTCCGCTCTGCGTTATCTCCCGACAGACATTTCTGGTATGAAGGTAAGTGCAATTCAATTTGTTTTCTTTTGCAAATCGCTGACTGTTTACTACCTGCTTTTTGCTGACGTGCGTAGCGACCTGTTGACGTCCGAAATTTCAGTCCCCGTATAAGACTAAGACTTTTTTGACATCGAGCATTGTTGATCTTCCAAAAAATGAGGTAGCTGTCTTAAAAATCTTTGGCAAAATTTAGGCTTGCGTCCCCAATGTGTAATTTTGTAATTATCTTCTTCACTCCTGCAGTAGCGTTCTTGTTTTGGCCATCGGAATCTATTACATTTTCAAGTTAAATTGACGAGTATCTGTGTTATTAAGCAGGCCTGACGTTCACTGCTTGTCAATTGCTGCGGTTTCGTAGGTTTACCCATCTGCTTTCCTTGCACCTGCCCGATTAGATACATGTACCACGTTTAGCTCGCAAAGGTATTAATCTTACAGTCGTGGAGCTTTACGAAGTATAGGATAGTCTCGGTATCTAAGGTAAGTGAACTCACACAAGAGGCGATAATCCCTTATATAGTTCGAAGTTGTTTCCATTATCATCGTCTACCTTTTCTACGCGAATTTATTCTTGTATTATTTGTGACATGGCTATTCTTTAGCATTCTACTCTCCTATAATTGCTACTAGTGTTTTGAGATATAGTGAAAATTGTTCAGAACCGGTCCCAGCTGTCGTCTAACTTATCCTTTCCATCTTAATTCGCGTTTTTCGAAAGCTTGCTAAACTTTATAATTTATCCGCCCCTTTGATTGTCTTGCAAGAGTTCGTCAACAATCCGAAGTGACGTGATTCCAAAGTCAGCTGTAGACTCACTTTCTTTTGTTTTTTTATAGTTTCCATTTTACTGTCAAGTTTTTTTACAAGTTCTTCCCTTAGGTGCTTAATCTATAACTAGGTCCCGTTCATTATCTCCTAACTGGTTCCTGACTATTTTAAAAGCTCATTGAATTGGAAATTTTAGCACTCTAATGCTAACTTTTTTTCCAGATATCTTATTTGCCTATTTACTCTATAGAGTTTCGAAGCTAATTGTATGTTTTAAATCCGTCTTTTTTCTCACTTTTATGGTATAACGCTGTACTGAAATTAACAGGTACAGGTCTGCTTATAACCCCAGAGCACCATTCTTTGGTTGTCATTGTCATGAACTGGT